AGATAGATGGGGGCATCAACATAGATCTGCTGAGACAATTCCACTTTGCCCCGTGTTCCGCTTTGCCCCGGGTTCCCCTATATATACACACATGCGCAAACACACACACGCGCACACACTTTCACGTTGTCACGCACACACACGCACACACGCACGCACGAACGCACGCACACACTCACACATATACACATTCATAGGCAAAAAATTGTAAATTAGTTGGGCGAACATGCAACGAATTGTCCTTGACTGGCAGATGTTACTGCCTTGCTGGTAATATGTAAGATGATGAACAAAAACCATTCATCATAAATAACAATTCTTCATAAATAACTTTTCTTGCAGTTTCTTATCACAAGATTTTTAAGTTCTCTGCTTAACCCGGAGACTAAAAACCCCCAGGGACTGTCTCTAACCACTGAACTAACCTATGCAATGTTCTTCGAAGCAAGCCATGTACTTATCTGTCGGTAATTGCGGGTGTGATCGCATCATCAATGGATGTTTGGATTCCTTTACGGCTTAAAAACCAATTTGAAAAATTGCTTAGTTATCATATGATAGATATAAATATATAATACTATCAGGAGTACTTGAGTAAAGACTAAAATCACGACTGCTAATAATATAATAGTTACTATACTCGCACACACGTACGCGCACACACGCACATACGCACGCACGCACGCACGCACAGAGTCACACATATACACATTAACATGCAAACATATATTAAGCAATATATAAAGCAATAAGTTTGGCGAACATGTATTGAATTGTTCTTGACTGACAGATGTTACTGCCTTGCTGCTGGGAATTTGTAAAACGTTGAACAAAAACAATTCATCATAAATAACAATTCTAACTTATGTTACAGTTTCTCAACACGAGATTTTTAAATTCTCTGATTAACCTGAACCCGGTTCCACAGACGTGGATTAACTTTGCATCTGAGTTAAATATGCCAAACTCTGAGTTAAAATTTAACTATGGTATGAACCTGAATTAGGAGTTTAACTCAGACTAAAATACACAAAGACCATCTCTAACCACTGAACTAACTTATGCAATGTGCATCGAAGCAAGCCATGTACTTATCTGTCGGAGATTGCCGGTTTGATCGCATCATCAATGGACGTTTGGATTCCTTCACGTCTTAAAAACAATTTGAAAAATTGTTTGATTATCATATGATATATATATATATATATATATGATAATATTAAGAGTACTTGAGTAGAGACTATATTCACGACTTATAATAATATAACATTTACTATACTCGCACACACGCACGTGCACACACGTACGCACACACATGTACGCACGCACGCACAGACTGACACGTATTTACAGGCAAACAATTGTATATGAGTTGGGCGAACATACTGAACGTACAGAATTGTCCTTGACTGGCAGATGTTACTGCCTTGCAATGAGTAAATGCGTTTGGCGTATATACGAGCACTAGAAAAGATTTGTAACGGCAAATAAAAATTGCACACAAGAATATACATGCGAAACGACATTGCCGTACGTGACAAACGATACACATACAACACACTGAATTAAGCAAGTGATATGATTCAATAACTCAATAACAATAACAACTCACATACGCATAATGGCACGACTAAAGCAATTAAAATACAAAGAACGACATAATAGACTAGTCGACAAGAGATGAAAGACAACCAGGAACATTCTGCGCAATAAATAATAAGTTACTGGGGAACAACGCTGCCAAATATAACACATCAAATTTACCAACCGTGATAATGAACGCAGTAACAGAACTTTACCAACACCTGTCTCTCACAAAGGAAGAGTTGCGCCTGTCTTCTCAACTTCTTGTTATATTTCTTGCGTATCTTCTTTCCTGCCTGCATGACCTATGCATGTCTATGCATGTCTATTCATCCTCACCAGTGTACGCATAGAAATATATATCTGCCTTAATAGCTATGAAAGAGGTAAGCTATTCACCTTGGCTTTGTTATTGGCCTTGTCCCATTCTTTAAATTTGTTCAAACTTTTTTATATTACTATGTCAAAGTTATTTTCAATGTCATGGCCTTCACGATGACATTGGCTATCTTCTCATTTTTTAAATGTTTGCATTACTAGGTCAAGACCTAGGTTATTATTCGCTACTACCCTAACCCACCATTCCTTGTATTATTATTAACATTTCTTCTTTGTAACTATATTTATTTTTCTTTATTATTCCTTATTCCTTAAATTGAATCTTTTTGTTACATTTTGCTCAACAACGATTAAAAAATATTTTACTATTGTAGATAATAAGAATTGATTCTGACGGCCAGATCAATACGCTATGCACCAACAAACCCTACCATTGCCGCTGACCTGCTCCGATCAGTTGTGTGTGTGTATGTATTATACTTTCATTTATTGGCAAGAAAAAGCTTATTGTCGGGCAGAGATTTCAACGCGGAGTTTTGTTTTTAAACAAAATAGAAATCCTCATACAGTTCTTTCCGCACAAATCATTCGTGATAGATAAAACCGTGCAATAGATAAACGCGAGATTAAATATATACAGCTTCTAATCGAAATGATATCCATTATATATTCAAGAGACACAATAGGTTATACAGTAGACATACAAAACGCGATCTCTTTATTTTCTACCCGAGCGGGTTATGTTATACCGCGACGCTACGCAAAGCCAAACTTCACGCCACGCTGTTACGTACACAGTAGTGATGAATGACGGATGTTGCATGATCTATGTAACATCACTCATCCTCTGCTGTACGCTAATTGGCTCTGTTGCCCTACTAACATCAACGCACCGCGACATTCAAGATAGCTTCACTGCAGCCACTGGACTACGTAAAGTGGAATTGCGATGGGTAATAATAAGAAAAGCGATGAGGAAAAGGCCAATATTGTCATCCGTTGGTTGCTACGGCACCAGAAGTGGAATAGACACTATTAACAAAATGTCAGCCGTCGTAACAGTGTGATGTCAATAAAATGACAATGTTTACAAACACGAGCTTCATCTTTGTTCTTACTCTATCCTCCTGTTGGTATCAGTAAACACTCGGCTACGGTCACCTGAATGAAAAACGCCTCAGTATCTTACCATGTTTGCTCTCGGCTATTACACTTAGCCCAGGTGCGCTCGCACTTCGAAGCAATAAGATTTCTTCCCCAATAAACAATACGTCTAGATGTAGAAGAAGGACACAGGCACGATCAACTTTACTAGATGGACACACTACACGGACTAACATGTAGTACATGATACAACCCTGACCTAGGCGGACTAGATACACTACATCGACTAACCGCAATAAATATCGCACTTGAGACATTGTATAGAAACACTGTAGGTTGTCAATCGCGAGAGGTTTTCGTATTTCTCCAAACGTTCGCCTCCACACACACACGCACACACACGCACACGCATGCACACACACACACCCACACACACACACACACACGCACGCACGCACACGCATACGTACGCACACGTACACACACACGCACGCACACGCACACACATAGCCACACAATAATAAATAGCGCTGCGCAAAAAAACACGAGCGTCAGAGCGACATAGTTACACTACGCGGATCGAATGACCCACGGAAAACGACTCGTGAGTTTTTTCGTGCTGTTCTAACAATACAATAATCGCGATAATACGTAGAATAAATATTTGTTCGAAGAACGATAAATACGCGTGCACACATAACATCACACACAATTTCTACAATTCAACTGGCTGCACAATCAGTGTACGCCATGGATTTTTAAACTCGATTAGCACGTCGCTAATCAAAAGGTAAAATTGATAAGCATTAGCAAGTATTGCAAAAAATGTAAACATGTTTACGAGTCGAAAACGATCAACGACAATTGAGTTGTCAGAAACATCAAAACTATCTAAAACACAATATTACACGTAGGTATGATTAGGTAGGTAGGTAGGTAGGTAGGTAGGTAGGTAAACTTAACCAAATCGAATAAATCTAGATGGCCATTTTCATTTTTGCCAAAAGCTGAGCGTGTCTCAAAAGTAGGTCGACTGGCGTGCTCCAAAATAGGACGTTCAAATCCCTCCCATATGAGTAACAACTGTATACAATTTGAAACATGTGGGTCAAACGGTTCTTGAGTTATCGTTGACCGTAGGCAGACACTGAAATGCATAGTGAAATTGCCAAAATCTACCTAATTTTTTTTAAATATCAAAACCTGTGTAATATGTTTTTGGGCCAGTACTTATTCATTCACATACCAAAAATGAGCAATATCTATTGAACCTGAACTGACTTATGGCCATTTTCATTTTTGACAAAAAGTGGGCGTGGCTCGAAAGTAGGTTGACTGGCGTGCTCCAAAATAGGACGTTCAAATCTCTCTCATAGGAGTAACAACTGTATGCAATTTGAAACATGTGGGTCAAATGGTTCTCAAGTTATCGTTGACCGTAGCCAAATGTTGACAGACGGACGAACGGACGAACGTACGACGGACGACACCCCATGGCAATAGCTCATCTTGATGATGTCAATATGAGCTAAAAATTAAGTGAAGTCAGTGAAAAATACAATTCATTCCAAGTTACAGCAACAAAATAACCGATTCGCAGTTTGCTAATCCATATGAAATATGATTCGCAAAAGCTTCAAATTGATTCAAAAAGTGTGATGCGAGCCCCCTCACGGTGTACATTGGTCACGATGTACCATAACTGAGTTATTTCTAATGGTGGTGAATGATGCAAGGGAATGGAAGGCGGCGGATTGCAACGTCACCTGCCACACTGCACAAGATAACCTAACAATGCTCACAGACGCTTCTCGCATGTGTACCCCTAAAGGTATAATGAGTGGGATTCCAAAACCAAACATCGAAAACAATCACCATTCTGCCTACTATGAATATATTAAAGAAAATGCGCGGAATAACCACTTCATGTCCTACCCTCGATGAATGACAGACAACACTATTGCTAGTATCACCGTAAACGTCCAATTACATCCAAATAAGGGTAGTGTCTCTTTATCGATCTACATAAAGGCACTCGGGCGACGGTTAGCGCTGTCTAGTGGTAATCCCTGGGGGCGCGTCGGTAGTAGTTTCCGTACATGTACGTGTCCTCTAGGCGATTGCGTACAACGTCGCTGACAGCGTCGCTCACCTCGTTGCCAACGCTGCTGTTGTTGGAGCTGGCCTCAGACGCAAGGTCTGACAGGTGCTGCCATCTAGCACTGTTGGTTAGTCTGAAATAATGAAGTTAGTCGGTTAATCTAGACGAGGACAGAGCCGTAGTTCATTTTTCGCAGAGAGGCAGAGGCGAAAAATAGGAAAGAGCAGAGAGAGTCGGAAGGCAGACGAAGAAGGAAGGGGGAGAAGAGAGATGAAAGGGGGCACAAAAAGATGAAGATAAGGAGGATAAGAGGGCAGGAACTGGAGAAGGACAGAGAGGACGAGATATTTATTACAGACGAGAGGAAAGGTGGGAGAGATGTGAAAGGAAAGAAAAATAGCTCAAATCGAAAGAAGCAAAAGTGGAATAAACATTGGAAAATATTTCCTAAACAATAACATTCCTTAACAATTCTCTTTCCTATAACGATGTCACATAATGAGTGACGAATGCTGAAAGGTAAAAGCGTCAGATACTACTACCAAATACAGTTTTAATTTGTAAAATTAAATGTACACCTAGTGAAGAGATCATCTAACCCAACTTCCACTGACTCTGCCATAAGCGTAACATCTCTCAAATGAGCACACAATGGGCATGCGGATTCACGTGGGTTCACATAATTTCAGGCGAAAGTTTAAATCAAGTGGTTATATAATGATACTAATATAAGTATAATCGTGTCAAACGTAAACAGAGATACTGTGCTGTCATCTCTCTCGTCACGCAAAACTCTCAGAAACAGTGCGTAATGCAACAAACCGAGTCACAACCTATAAATAAATTCCATCATGCATCTACTGGTGGTACTCGTGGTAAACACGAGACCAAGACGGCACCAAGCTGCCATCGGGTGTACATGTGCCAATACATGACAACAAGCAGCAAGTGATTGCAAACTGCCGCCAGAAACAACGCAAATAGTTATGACGTCAGAGACTTGTGATGATCATAACCGTTTACGATGTCTCAGAACACGGTTACCTACTAGATGTATCCTCCTCTTCACTCCGCAACGCACGTCGGTGTACGCGGGTGAGGAGACAGGGTAATCCGTCTATCGGTGTGTAAGAGCAACGCGGGAGAGACGTGCACCGAACGAACAGAACTGTGTGGTGACACATTCTTGCTTCCGTGGTGGTAACTGTTAGGTTTAACTCAATCAAGCCGTGACCATGGTGGTAGTAGTAGTGGTGGTGGCGGTGGCGGTGGTGGCGGTGGCGGTGGCGGTGGTGGCGGTGGTTGCGGTGGTGGTGGTAGCGGTGGTGGCGGTGGTGGTGGCGGTGGTTGCAGTGGTGGCGGTGGCGGTGGTGGTGGTGGTGATGGCGGTGGTGGCGGCGGTGGTGGTGGTGGTGGCGGCAGTGGTGGTAGCGGTGGTTGTGGTGGTGGCCGCGGCGGTGGCAGGGTGGCGGCGGCGGTGGTTGTGGCGGTGGCAGTGGTGGCGGCGGCGGCGGTGGTGGTTGTGGTGGTGGTGGTGTTGTTAGTGTTAATGGTTGTGGTGGTGTTGTTAGTGTTAATGGTGGTGGTGGCGTGGTGGTCGTAGCGGTGACGAGTGGTGGTGACGATGATGGTTGTGACGGTAGCGGG